AAAAAAGATGAAAAAAAAAAAACAAACAAACAAGTTCAACACACACCACCCTCAAACTTAAATTCTAGCATAGTCCCTATGCTCAAAAGCAGAATAAGAAATAAAAGGGATAGAAAACACAACGTCCCCTAGTTGTCGTGATCGTCCTCGTGGGCTCCTCCCTCCTCTTCCGGTCGTCCCCGCTCGTACTCCTCCCAGGCCTGTGCCACCAGTGTAGTGGCTGCCGCTTGTGCTTGTTCGTCGGCGGCGGAGGTTGATGCTACATCATATCGAGGCCGTGGTGGGAACGGCCGTGGCTCGACAATGTCATCGGTCCTGCACTGAAGCGCTGCAGCCATGGCCTTCATCATTTTCTTGAACCATCCCACATTTTCCTCCATAACATCCATCCATTGGCCGACATACTCAGGGAGCTGTGGTTCTGCTTCTTGTCTGCCTCTTCTGGCCCTTGGTTGTGGTCGAGCCGCATGAGCACCTGAGGGACCCGCATCTGGTAAGTCTGAGTCGCCCTCGCCTAGGGGCCCACTCGCTGGCTGGAGCTTGTGGTAAGGGAAGATCGGCTGTGGTGACCTGATGAGCCGGTCATCAGCGTATGTGGGGACCCCTGCACGATTACACAGTGTAGTGATGAGGGAAGGGAACATCAGACCTAGAGAGGTATCACCTAAGCATCGTCGGATCTCCGAGTGTATGATCGCGCCCACGTTCACAGGTGTCCTCTTCATTATGGCATACATCAGTGTAAGACGTGGGGCATAGGTCTTGGCCGTCGATTTTGTGGGCATAAGCCTGTTACTGACGAAGTACATCCATACCTTCGCTTCTCTTGACAGTTCCCCCCGACGAAACCAGTGCTCTCCTTTTTCCCACTTCGAACCCCTAGGGCAAAGAGTCTGAATCAGCTCCTCATAGGTCGTTGCCAACTTCAGTTGTTGAAACGGCTCGGTCGGGACTTCGGGTATGTGGAACAAATCGTTGATTGTAGCGGCGTCATAGCGCACCTCTTTGTCTCGAAGAACGACCACCGACCCCGGGTGAAAACCGGCATTGGCATAGAAAAGCCTCACGAGATTCTCGTTGTAGTCGTCCGGTCGTCTGGCCAAGTACTCCCATTTCCGACGATCAAAGTTTGTTCGAATCGATTCTTTTTCCATGCCATAGATATCTAATTCTCTTTCTGGAACAAACGGTCGGCTATGGCGACGTATAAACTCTCTCTTGGCCTCGACGTTCAGGTACAAAAACTCATCTCCCGGCTCGAGGACTACGTGGTCAAGGATGGTGTGTTGATTAGCTCGGGATCCCATCTCAAGTTGCACGTTTCCCGTGCGTGGGGTTTGTTGCTCTTCCGGCACCTGAGATGGTGGTGGTGCGCTCGAAGTGCCCTCTTGGCTTCCCGTGCCTCGAGAAGCTGCCTTTTTCTTCGGTGCGGCTTTTCCCTTTGCCGGAGCCTTCTCCTTGGGTTGGGCTTTTTTGGTGGTTTCGCCCGTCTTTAAGAGTTTCTTGGCCGGCGACGTCATTTCGTTCGACTTTGTGCGAGATGGAGGGTCGAAAGCCTTTGGAAGTTGGTTCGGGAATTTTGTCGAACACTTGGCGTGCCCAACTTGGTAATCCTTTTGATTTCCCCCGGTTGTTTGGTACCTATCCCTCCTACATCAATCACAACACCCAAGTGAGAATCCACCACCACAATCAACAATAGGTAGCTAAACAATCAACCCAAGTCATTCAAATCTTTATTTTATCCTTTATTTCGAAATTAAGAACAATAGGGCAATTCCTATATCTAAACATTGGTTCACCCGCAAATTCATGTTTTGAATCCCAACACCAAGTACAAATTCACGGACAAGCATACACAATTAACAAACAAGGGGAAAAAACATGAAATTTTGGTGAAATTCGAAAAAAATTGAAGAAAATAAAAGAAATGAGGATTAGATTGAAAATTTACCTTTTCTTGAAGATTCACCCACAAATTCTTGGAATAAATGTGCAAATCGTGAATTTGTGATGATCAAGTGTGTGATTGATGTGCTTTTTATGAAAGAAATTGAAGATTTTGAAGTTGGGGAGGGGTTAGGGTTTGGAATTTAGAAAAGGGGGAATGAGGAAATGAAAGGGGATTTGTGAATTTGAACTGTTTTTCGTCCCCAGATCGCGATCCACAATACCCGGATCGCGATCTGGGTCTCACCTTGCAGCTTCTGGAAAAAGGCCCCAGATCGCGATCCGGCGTTCCTGGATCGCGATCTGGTCCTTAAAATTTCAGCTTCTGGAAAAACGTCCCAGATCGCGATCCGACATACCTGGATCGCGATCCGGGCCCAAAATCCGCCGCTTCTGGAAAAACGTCCCAGATCGCGATCCGACATACCTGGATCGCGATCCGGGCCCAAAACTGGCTGCTACTGGAAAAACACCCCAGATCGCGATCCGACTTACCTGGATCGCGATCCGGGACACCTAAAACCTGGCAAAACGAAAATTTAAATGGGTGAGATAGAGGTGTTGAACCCTAAATTATAAAGATGCACGAAAAAGGCTAAAAAAATAAAAACGAAAACAAGAAAAAAGGAAAATGACAGAATATGAGCAACAATGGGTTGCCTCCCATTTAGCGCCTGTTTTACAGTCGACGGCTCGACTTCTTTTGGATTTATTGGGAGAAAATTAGTGCGACACGCTCCACTTCCTCGGGAGCACCATTCGGGTAGTAATGCTTAACTCGTTGCCCATTCACTTTGAACGACGGACCGTCTCGTCCTCGTGTTTCGATAACTCCTTGTGGGGTTGCGCTTAGGACTACGAATGGTCCCGACCAACGGGACTTGAGCTTTCCCGGAAATAGTCGTAGCCGAGAATTGAATAGCAGGACTTGGTCACCTGCCCGGACTCTCGCTTCGTATTCTTTTGTCATGCCACTTTTTCGTCTTTTCTTT